TTTGTACTTGACACCCCAACGTTAAACAAATTTATACACTTATAGGCATTGCTTCGCGACGCCTGATAAAAACTTTTGCGTTGACCAATACAAAAATGGTGTTAAAAAGCAAAAACGGTTTGTAAAGTAAAAATAAGTTTAGGTCGAAATGACTGAAGAGCAGAATCTTCCTTACTTATGGGCCAAGAATAATAGCGCTGAGATACCATATCGTATATCTACTAATCTCGTTCGATGCTATGTGCTGTTATTTCCACCGGTGAATCATTCGCGTAAACAAGGTTGCTAAAATGTTTGGAGATACATATTTCCTCATTTTCGTAAATAAGTATCATTGTCGCGGGACCTACCAATATCAATCTAGCCTACCAACCTACCAAATGAAAAAAAACTTCCAGTTTTGGTAGGAAAAGCCCATGTATGGCAACGCTGCTCGCAGTGGTTAGGCGAGTAGCTGTCTATATACTCACTCGGCTAGGTAAGACGGGTGAGCGACGAGCGAGCGCTCGGAGTGTACTTACAACACATGCGTTTTTGTGCATAAAATTTTTTGAATGTATGTCAATAGAATATGTACTAAAATATGTTAATATATGTGCAGGGATCGGATTTTTAGGACCTTAAAACCTATAAAAAAGGCAAAATAAAATAACGAAATAAAATAGCGAAATAGGCAGAAAAAGGCACTAGAATTCGCTAAAAAGGCAAAATAATGCACTAAAAAAGACAAAAACCGAAAAATAATCAAAAAATACATTTATTTTAGAAATGTTTATTTTACAAGTGAAAAGAGAAAGATATTAACTAGTTTCATTATATGAAAAATTTGTACTTCGAATCTTTGACTGTTTTCTTTTTTCGAGTTTTTAACTCACAAAACTTTAATCTCTATAGTTGTAGTAACATTGAACCACAAGATGCATTTTGAAGTTTTCTGGCAGCACTCGACGTAAATTGATACAAGTGACGCCCAATTTATATATGGAACGTTTAAAACGTTCATATTATCAGGAATAAGGGCTTTTTCCTTGCCCTTTACAATTAAAAGGTAAAAAAGGGCAAAAAAGAATAAGACATGGACATTACAGAGAAAAATAAGTAAAGAGGACAGTATTTATAATCGTTTGGGCTGCAGAAATAAAATACAACTATGCTCTTTAAACGTCCTGAAAATAGTTTACATCAATTAATGTACTGCTTGTAGCAGATTTGCTGTATACCTAAGTGAAATATAATCCTTGGTGAAAAAATGTATTTGTGGCTTGTTGTTCATAGGCATACATATTGTCTCCTCAGAAAACGTATGTTTATGTAATTTCTGAAGGAGACGTAGTGCCAGCGTGACGTCACGCTAGCTGAACCACCCACTAAATTTCGTCGAACACTGGTAAATATTGTTCAGGAATTAGGTGTTCTTTAGGGCCACTCGGTTTCCGAAATATTCGCACAAATGTATTTTGGGTCAGCCAGCGTGGCGTCACGCACAGGGCTGCCAACTATCCTTAGCTATGAAGTGCCATATTGAGGATAAAAATGCGCCAACTAGAAAAATAAAAGTGCCAAAATAGGTGCCATTCTTTTTAAATCTTCCCATTTAGCATTAAAACTAAAAACACATTCCTAAAACACAAGTCCAATGCCAAAATAAGATAAACCAGTTGTATACACTATAGAAATTAGAAAATTTTAGTTGAGAAAAAAGAGAACAAGCAAAGGATTTCACTAAAATGTATTGAAATATTACTATTTTTCAAAACTGCCAGTTTTGACACTTTGTGCCAAATCGAAAAATTAAGTGCCATTAGAAGTAAAATAGGGCCAAAAATGGCACGGTTTGAGCCAAGTTGGCAGCCCTGGTCACGCACAAACACTGGTAAATATTATTCAGGAATTAAGTGTAATTTAGGTGTTTTTTAGGGCCACCAAAATTAATTTCGGTGCACACTCGGTTTCAGTGAGCCACGCTGGTTGACCCAAAACAGATTTTTGCGAATATTTTGGAATTAATACAACTAAAGTAGTAGTACATTCAAGGATTTTAT